TCGTCATTCATTCCCGATGGTAGTGACGCAGGAGCGCGAGTTAGGAGGCGCGTACGCGGGGATGCTACCTGGCGGTCATCTGGACAACTGACTGCGACGAGATGTTACATATAATGACAATGTTTAATGGATTACTCCAACGCGCAAAGCGCTCAAGCTCACCTCCCCCTCCCCCGCCAAGGGGCTTGGAGACGCGTTGCGTTAATCTAGACGCAACAAATTAAACTAGTAATGCTACATAAAGGTGAATACATTCTCGGATTAGTTTTCTATTGTCTTTTGTCTGGGCTAGCTATTCGGTCTTACCACCACGTACTCTTTCTAGCCGCCATCTATCACCGACCAAACAACATTATTTTTTTAATTTTCTCAATGTTTTTGTTACCCAAGAGTAGAACCAAAATATTACTTCAAGAATATTAAAGAAGAGTAAAATCTCGTCCTAAATGGCGACTTTCACTGAAAATTTTGCATTTAAGAGTTACTGAAAATGCGAAATTAGAAGCTCTTTTTCACAGAAACGTTTTGAGTTTTCGAAAAAACTTCATTTAATGTCATTTGAAGCATATCCACTCAGAAATGCAATAATGATTGCAAATTGCTGGAAATGGCATATTAAAGGCGAGAGGGATATTTAACTAGTAGTGCTAAATCAGCTCGTACTTTCTCGCCATTAGTCATGGTTATGTAATACTATTTATACCACAATTTCTCTCCGAATTATTTTTTGTAAAACTCATTTGAAATCGTAGAACATTTGGTGAGAAAAATAAGCAGAATGCAGGAAAGTAAAATTTAATAAACGCGGGTAGCGCTGGAAAACAAATAGACCGAAAAATATATAATCGAAGTTATTAAACACTATAGTATTGTAATATTCCACAAATATATAAAAGCATTCGTTTTTATTTTCGCGAACAAAACGCAGTAGTCATTATCGTGTCATCTGCGGCGCGGCGTTACGACAATGGGTAACAACAACCAACAATGACCGCTCATCTATTCGTTTTGACGTTTAATCCAATTAAAGGACGCTATTTATAATGAAATAACCTAAATATATAATAATTGATAATAAAATGATGCATGAAATGATACGCAAATTCTAACTTACATAGAATCTGAGTACGTATGTTACGAGCGGGCGACTGAAGGCTGACAATCTTTATTCATATTTCATATTTATTTCAAATATATTTTAAATAATTTCTAAAAGATTAATTTGTAGAAGTAAAACAAAAGCTCTAATGTAACAAATGAACAAAGAAATATGAAATACTATGCACATTCTAACATACGTAGCATCTAACTGTCTCAAAACACATAAAATTACGATCAAGAAGTGCAGTATTTTAAGAGAGGACGACTAACTTTGACGCCCAGTTACTCCAAATACTCAGTTTCGAAAAATTGAACGTGACCTTATTTGAAAATCTGTTTTTGATTTCATGACATTTCATTTTTAAAAAAATTGTATCTTCATAATTTTAGTTGTAGGAAGACGCCGAAAAAATTTTGAAATTTTTCAATTGTCGAAAACTTAGGGTTTTCAACCAAAATGAGACCTGCACCATTTTCTTAAATGTTCTTCTAACTATCCACCAACACAATTTCATCAAAAATGATGGAGCCGTTTTTGAGAAAAAAATGTTTAAGTAAAAATTAAAAATTGCCTATTTTTCACACAAAATACCGCGAAAAATACTCAATGTTTAAAAAAAATTGTTCATGGCCTTATTTCAAAATCTATCTATAAGGAACAAATTTTTTAAAGGAAAAACCTCTATCTTTAATATTTTACTTGCTAGTATATGTTGAAAAAAATTGAATTTTTTTAAATTTTTGAACAATCAGAGCTTTCAACGAATATGAGACCTGTTTACTCCTTTTTTGGTGTGTGTGTATCTAACTTTGCTTAATAGAGGAAACTATTAATATCGCTTATAGGCAAATATTAATAAAAAATAGAGGTAGAAAGTAAAGAATTCTAAATACATTAGTAGTAGTGGTACATAATGGCACAGATTTTCTCGTATTAGCTTACTATTTTCTTTGGTCTGAGCTAGGTTATCAGACTTCCCACATAATCTAGCCAGCTGCTATCTATCTCCATCCAAAGCACACTTTAAAAAATCTAAATTCTTCAGTTTCCTAATAAGAGGACCGAAATATTACTTTAAGAATATTAAAGATGAGTAAAACGTCCTAAATGACATTTGTCATCAAATAATTTGGAACCGTTTTTAAGAAAATATTGTGTAAGCGTCACTAAAAATGCGAAATTAAAGCTCTTTTTCGCATAAAATGTTTGAGTTTTTTTAAAACTTGTATGTAAAATTATTTAAAGCACTTTAACTCACAAATGCAATAGTGTTTACAAATCGCTCGAAATGTGCATATTAAAGGCTTGAAATATATTTAAAAAAATTACATTTGTGTAAGTTTTGAAAAAAAACATAATACACCACAATGAATTTTATGCCATAATAAACAGTGCAATTAGCACTACTCGTTGAAAAGGTTAGAAAAAAAATTTGGAGACGTTTTTGAGATATGGTGTTTGAGCTGATTCTTGCGGTTCCTTTGCACAGTTTCAAGATGGCGGTCCGCACTGCGCGGCGACTCACTTCAGTGACTCACGATCTACAGATCAGAGGAGCTGCCCTCCACTTTCCTTTCTGTGTAGTAACTATTCTGTGGCTAGGGTCTTCCTGCAACATGGAACAGCTTTCTTTCTCAGATATGGTGAGTCAGTTGTGAAAACAGGTAACTGAGAACACATGCATTATTTGTGAAGTTAGTGACCACAGACAGCCTTACAAAAATATATATACTACTGTTATTTCCACCGTCTTAATATAAAAACCTTTGGATAAAGAAGAAATGTACGTTTGCGTTGTTACAACCAGTGTTTTTGAGAAGTATACAATTGTTTACAGTAAAAAATTAAAATGTGTATCGGAAAAATAAATTTCCAAAATTTCTTGTCGTAATGAGACAAAGTTTTTTCAAGGAAGTGAGAATCGTGCAAACTTGTTTATATCGCAAATATATCGGACAGTGTCAATGATGAAGAAGCGTGCACAGCTAATCCTGATAAGGCATGCTCACCTTAATTAGTAGATAACATTAAGTAGATAAAGATAATAATAAAGAAACTGGCAAGTTAATCCGTCTTCTGTTTCTTCTGCTGTCTTCACTTATTTCCCGTTTTCTTCTGACATCACGAGGCAAAAATAAAATTTGTCGCCAGGAGTTTTCATTGTTCAGTGTTCTCTTTTTAGCAAGTTATTCTTTTGTACTTGAAGTTGCAATTCAGAGAGTGCACTGCATTGAAGTCTAAGCATTCTTATGTGCTATGCTTAAGAGAAAACAAAGAATTTAAACATCGAACAATAATGTTTTTTGCTAATGCTTGAAACAGGACACGAATCCAATTCACTTTTTTGAGCGCAATTCGTAGTGACGTTTTCAGCGCTTGGCATATGAATGAAGGTTGTCACGGAAAATGACAGAGTTACTTAGATATAGAAGAGTTGCAACAATGATACGAAAACAAAAAACCCTGCAGAAGGCACAAGAAAATATATAGTTGATATTAACGTATGTATGTACTTGGCAAGACAGCCTGTGAACGGGCTCAGGCCTACCGGCGACGTCCCTCCCTCGCGGCCATGGCTTAAATGCGGTGAGTGTGGTTAGCACGTAGACATCTCCATGCCGTATTCCGGTCTTCTCAACCTGAAAAGTGAATTTTCTCATCGTCACACAGCAACATATACTAGGACATTGCAAGGAACATGCACACTATAGTCTTGGCTCGACAGGGAATCCAACCCGGGGCCGCATAGTGGAAAGCGAGCACGCTGCCCAAGAGCCAGCCACGAGCAGATAACTACTATTAATATACTATTTGAATATATTATATTATTAATTTTAATGTTAATAATAAACTATACTCTCTGTAAAGAAATATCAATTTAATTAACTGTATCACATGTTCTTATTTGTATCATAATTTCCTCTGTTTAATACTAAATTCAATTCGTTTGACACTTTTTAATTTGAATTTATGAAGGTATGTACATATATGGCACATATTCGTAGTAAGATGTGAAAGGATACAAGGGTACTTCTAATCATTACTCTGTGGAAGTAAACGATGCTAATTGGCACGTGCTAGGGGGTGACAGCAAAACAGCAAGCAGAAATGTCTGTTGTTTAATTTTTCGGGATCCTGTCGGTGTCCCACTTTGAAACAGAACAGACTTCAGAGAATACAATGGTATTTTTTCGAATTTTTAAATTCTCGGGGTAAGGAAGTAATGTAAAACACAAAAGTAACATAAGTCAAAAATGAATTTTAAAATTTAATGAAGCCAATGCTTCCATCAAATGAACCAGCATCTTTTGATCTTTAATGTTGCAAAATATTAAATGTCTGTCGCAATTAGAAAATGAGTTTCAAACGATTAACTTCAGCAATGCGAACATTTTTTTCGAAAATTTTGAAAATTAATATCGTCTCGAAAAAAATAATTGGCAGAAAATTAAAAACATTTTCATATTTTTTTATTTTACTCTTTAAAGAAAAAGTTTTAAAAAATCGAATCACATTGTAGCAATAATCGAAAGTCATTTTTAAAATCTCACTTTCTTTCAACTTTGTGCTCATGTAACAAAGAAACAGCTCTCGCTCATTACTAACCAGGGAACACCCCCAGCTGTTCAGCACATATTGGCACAAAATATATTTTTGTTACTTGTTTTCGGCTTATAGGTACTTAAAATGGGATTCAAAGGCCCAACGTTTTTGATATTTTGAATAAATATTTTTTTGACATATCAAATTAGAGCTATACATGCTAATATAATAACCCTTTGACCCATGAATTTTCTTTTAATTAAAAGTTGATAATTGGAGGTTTTGGGATTTGCTGAGTATAAATGTGAAGTCGGAGTTTCGAACTTCAAAATGCGGATGCGATAGGGCGGAACAAATGGTAAAAAAGTAAGTAACGTTTTACTCAAAACTACGTAATACGGGTTTCCTGGGTCCACTAATTTGAAGTCGGATTTTAAAAATCAAAATGACGAATCCAATGTGGTGGGGGAAACACTAATAGTGTGGTCGGTAACAATTTACCAGCGATAAGAAATGGATTTTTTTCAATATGCCAATAAATTATTTTCAATGACGTATAAAACATATTTTTAGTCATTTATTTTTCCCATCTTGAATTATGAAAATCTGACTTCAAATTTGTGGTTAACAATCCCACACAAAAAAATACTGTATTCATCAATTGTACCAATGAAACAATAACTTCATCCATACAGCACTCAACCGTAGAGTTCTGAATACCCAGAGATCCGTCATTCCGCTCTCTCGCCCGTTTCAGAAAAGTGCGGGTCTAACCTTCCTCTATTGCAATGGGTACCGTAGTGCCTGTGGTATGTGTGTCTGACCCATATGAAACGGATCAGCCTGCATGAAACTGATCTTGCAATCTTGTGAAAAATACTGGCAAAGCCATAGTTTTTGTTTTCAAATTTTAACGTATTTTTTCAAAATGTGTTATTTGTTTTTCATTTAAAACTTCTTATTATTTGTTACAGGTTGCATTTTGTTGCTGGCAAAATATCAGTCATTATCTTCTATCGCTTATACATATTACTTATTGCATTTTCTTATGTCCCACAAATGTGCGAAGCAAATGCAACGAATCTTCACGGATCTCATGGGTGTGACTGTATGGAATACTGGACCTGCGTAATGAGGTATTTATTTATTTATAAACTAGTATTCTTTTTGAAAACTCCGAATATATTTTCCAAATATTTTAAGGTAATAACAACAGAAGAGTAAGAAATCGTGAAGTGGAGCAACCTCAAAAAAATACGTTTTTTTTAGATTTCGGCAAAACTACCGTTTGTTATGTTGCTTGAGACAAACCAGAATTCCCGTCGAAAAGGGTCGGTCCACGCCTTAGAGGAAGAAGCAGAGGAGGCTACCATGTGTACCTTTCTCCATCTTTCATCGCCTTGCTTTTCATTTCATGTCACCTACATTCTTTTATTGCACCCTCTTTTTATTCCTTACTGGCTTCCTCTGTACGCTGTATGCATACCCACATATTTGTCGTGCATTGCGTCCCGTGACAAAGGGAATGGGTGGCCTGAGGGTTGAGAGGCCTGTGTATGCTTTCCTGACTATAGCTTTGGCACTGGATCCTTGTGGGTTGATCCCTAGCCACTTTCGCCGCGCGAACACCGGTAAGCCCTGACGACTAAGGACTAGTCTCTGCACCTTGTAGATCCCAACATTCTTCGTTTGGCCTCTACCTCTTCTAGAAGGGCAGTCGGGAGCTAACCGACTCCCGTTCGATCGGCTCGGACTAGCTGTTGTACTGAACTCCAGGATGAGGGGGGGATCCACGGCGGGACAGCTCTGTGTCATCCCCCCACTAGATCTCCATGCCAGCCCTGGCACCCCAGCGGAGTGTCCTCGTGTTGGACTCTATGGTAGGTGGGGAGCAAGGAGATGACTTACTGCCCATCGTATGGATACTAAATCACCTCCTGCCCTTTTCCGCAAGCAAGAGAAGGTCCGGAGCGAAATATTGCTTTGAAGAGCTTCTTTTTAAAGAACTAAGGTAGACTGAGTAAGCCTCGTTTCCTCTTCATGGCAGGTGCCGAGGAAGGCAAATCTTATAAAAATGTGAGTGCCTTTCGTTTGGGGCGCGCAATTGAGGAAGAATATGAGAAACTCTCAACCGTGTTGAGGCAAGGGGATGGTACCATTCTGGTAGCGTAGGCTTCCGCGGCCGGAGTATGTGTTGTTTAGGCTATCCGGGACGAGCCGCGTCACTGACATGGTGGCTAACGTTTCGACCAGCGTATTGTGATTGTTGAGGATAGCATGCGCCATTCTCCATTCGTGAAATGCGTTCTTCTCTGGGGCTTGCAAAAAGAACCGTTCCAGTCCAGTTTTATTTTGTTCCTCTGAGATATTTCATTCTAGTTCTTTCTCGGATTATCGCATTTAAGTCCCTTAAATTTCAGTTTTATTAGCTTATCACACAAAAACGAATTTTACATCCAGCTCTAATCACGTTTCCAAAATGATAACTTTATTGTCGAAAGAGTTTTTGAAAAAAGGTATGTTTATCAAGTCACCAATACTACCGTGTGTAAATTAACTTTCGTCCCAAACTTCTTTCTTGAGCGTTCTGGCAAAAGGGATCTCTTTGTCCTCATGTACAAGACTTCCCACGTTTCCCACTAAGATAGTTAATATTTTGGAATAATGTGATATACCTGTGCAATTTATGTATTTTAAATCTGAAGTTTTATTGGATTAATATTTTGATAACAATGAATTATGTTAATTTATAACCATTATAACATTGTATATAATTTTCATATTATTAATTTCGTAATAAATAATGAATTTTTAAATTGTCAATGGAACCGTTTCTACAGCGGAGGATCGCCGTTCAGTTACTGCGGGCTCTCGGAAACCAACGTGTGCTGCTTTGTGCCAGCTGAAGCATCCTCGCAAGAAGTTCAGCCAGCTTCATTTGGATCGAAGAAACGGTGTGGTCACAAGGGACCTGATTCGGGGCAGGAAGGTATCGCAGATCCCGCAGAATGGCCGTGGCATGTAAGTTTATTCAGCGATCACGCTAAAGTCAAGAATAGATTGGTAGTTAGAACTTGTATTTGTTTAAAAAATTAGAAAAATACTGGTCCAGAGTGTCCAGACTTACCCGCACAAAAAGGCCGCACTGTAAGCTCCAACCGGTGGGGAAAATCAATCTACATGGTGAGTCACGTAACTTGAGTACCTCCTGTCGTATTTAAACTGTTGAAAATATTGCATTGCAGTTTTCACGAAAGGCATGAGGAATTGGGTATACACACGTAAACATTTTTGATAATTTTGTATTATACGAGATATTGATATCATTTTGCTTTGATAGAGAATTAGTTTTCACTGAGATTTTCTTGTAATGTTAATTTATGCTATATTCATGCATAAATATACCATAAATTAACATTTCAAGAAATTTTCAAAAAATATGAACCCTAACCCTTCACAAAATAATGCTTGATTATGACAGACTAAACATGTGGAAATAACAGTTTGTTTTATATGCTAAGTTTATTATCCCGGCCGCAAAACGACAAGCCCAAATTAACACAAAAAAATCGGTCTAAACCGGAACCTGTACAAGTTGGAAACCTGTCTAAACCGAAGCGGGGCGAACTGGAACGTTTCTATCCTACTTTGCTCCAAAATGTTTGACAGCATATTATTACTACTATAATTGTTTTTGGAATAGGAGAGTTTTATGTTACCCCTCAGAACCTTTTACTTACAAACTCTTAAGAACTGGCTTTGAAATATATAAAAAAAAAAAAAGTGGTGACTCTCTACGAAGTCAATTCTCTCTTCGAAGAATTATTTGTAAGGGTAGCCACAACACAAAATGCTTTTTCTGTATTTACAAATACAGGGATATACCCTCAAATATTGTCTGATAATGCTTTCGCACCAGCAAAAGCAACAAATTATGAACTGTCTCCGGAATCTTCAAAAGCTCCATAGTAAGGTACACACATTATGTCACTGGTGGAAGGATAATCGCAGACCCTGATAGTTTCTCATGATGAAATCCTTCCTGTGCGAAAATCATAATCAAATTCTAGTAAAACCACCCGCAGAACTGGAAATACGGCCATCATAACATCACCTTATTTGAGATATATAAGTTCTGAAGAGGGACACACTTCAAAAAACATAAAACGGTAAAAAACGACGTAGACCTAGTACGTAGTGATAAAATTAATCTTTATTACATCAGTATATGATTTCTTAAAATTCTTATTTACTAATGTAAACAATACTTACTTGGCTATCCGGGAGAGGCGCCGCGTCCAGGGCACAGATGCCAACCTTTCGGTCGTCATTCTGCGACCTTCATCAGGGCGTAGTGTGCGGAGATGGAGTGCGCACGGGATTATGTAGTTTCTCTCCTGCTAATTGGTCGGAGGATCAGCCAATGCGGAGAGAGTGTAACGACCAATCAGGGAGGCTCCCCGGGCGGGATTGAAGAAGGCGCACCGCGCTTAATCGGACGGCATGGAGCAGCGAGCACAATGCCCGGTCTCGACCTGGTAAAATAGATGCTTCCAGGCATCGTGGAGCTTGATCAGCAATGTAAACAAGCTTAACTGTTCCACTTTGCCCCACGCTCCCCAACCACAATTCTATCAAAATATAACGGTTTTCAGTAATTATGATTTATGATGACAAAGTTCATTTTTTCGAATCAGTCCTACAAGTTTGTTAGTGAAGCTATAGATTCCCTTCTTAATGCCACATAATCCACAATATTAGAACTTTAAATCATTGAAAGTACTCTTTTCTTAAATTGTAAATAGTTGTATTGTAATTGGTGTTATATCCTTTGAGTTATTCGAGTTGTAGCTGCAATGTAACCAACTAGAATAAAAGTGCAATATCATTATACATTAGGCGAAAGATACCAAATATATGAAAAAATGTGTGCAAGAGTTTTTTAATTTGCTAATGATTAAAATAAAAGGAACAATTAAAATGTTCTAAGGAAGATGTTCTGTCTATACGCATTAGGCAACTTTGATATAGTACAGTTGTTCATAATTTGTAACTAGTGGTGCTCACAGCACATACATTCTCACATTATTTCTAAATTTGCAGTTTTCGAACATTCAAAGAGTTCAACGAAAATAAGACCTGCACTATTCTTTTAAGCGTTCCTTGGTTTATCCGTGAAAAAAAGTTAAAGAAAAAAATTGGAGCGGTTTTAGAGAAAATTATTTTTCTGAAAATTGTATTCATTTCAAGAACAAATTACGGAAAAACTGGTTTTAAAAAATTGTACGTTACCGTTTTTAAAGACCTGAGTTTTTGAACAGATTTCGTTTAAGACTAAAAAATTCTAATCTTCAATTTTGTGGATTCAAAATGTTAAATTATTGCAATTTGCGAAAATACAGATATTACCGGATACGAGATATGCACCACATTTCTCCACCCCCATATACATACGAGGAGAAAACTTAAAGAAAAAATTAGAGCCGTTTTTAGAATAAAATGTTTTAAAATTCCCTAAATTTGACGCATAATTTCGCCCCAAATTACTCATGTTTTATAAAATTGTATATGACATTATTTCAATATTTGTCATTCAACTACAGTTCTGATTAAGAAAAAATCTGTATCTGCAGTATTGTAATTGTGAAGAGACGATAAAAAATTGAACTTTTGCAATTTTCGAATCAGTCTTCAAGGCCTCGTAATAAATTAAATAGTTCGGGGAATATGAATTTTGAAGCAAAATGGCTGAACGGTTTACGCGCTGTCCTTGACCAGACACGACGGAGAGGCTGGCGGACTGACCGACTGGTGGGCTGACCGACTGGCGGACTGACCGACTGGCGGACTGACCGACTGACGGACTGACCGACTGGCGGACTGAACGACTGGCGGACTGACCAACTGGCGGACTGACCGACTGGCGGACTGACCGACTGGCGGACTGACCGACTGGCGGACTGACCGACTG